AGAATATTGTGCAGCACCCTATGCCTTTCCTGTATTGAGAAGTGTTTTTTAGCTGGAAATAGCTTTGAGACTCGTGAAGCTGTTGAATGGGGGTGCACTGCTTCTTTGCCTCAGTAAGAGGTAGCGTGCTTGTTTCTGACCAGGAGTTGGCATTCTGTGGCCTACTGGCTGAATCTAGCCTGCTGCCCGTTTTTGTAAATAAAGTTTTATTGGAACATGACCACACCCTTTCATTTACATATTGTAACAGAGACCATCTGACCTGCAAAGGCTAAAATAATTACCATCTGGCTCTTTACCAAAAATGTTTGCTGACCCCTCCTGTAGAAATCAATTTTTAATTTAGGTGTGTAATTGTTTTGTTTTTTGTTTTTTATTTTTTAAGGTTTTGCATTCATTTGTTCAGCTATATTGGTGGGGAGAAGTGCTTACTGTCCTTTGCTTCCCCCAAAGCAATCAAAGTGCCATATCATTTCATGCCTGAGTTCCTGTGTGATCATCCTGCATAGTGACTGATTTCTACACAGTCCTTTGCATGGAGCGTGAATTGCAAAAACTTGCAAAACTTTTGCTGCTATTTACCTTTGTGAGCACTGTGCTCGCAACGCTGGTCCATGCTGGTGATGGTGTACACAAAGCACCGAGTGACAAAAGGCTGATGAGAGTTGATATCAAAGTGCAGGAAGAGATTGTAGCCGCAGTCTTTGCTCCTGTAAACAGCAGCACCCTGAGATTGCTTATATGTGGGCATTGTGGGGCGATGTAGGTTTCTGCAGTTGAGATCGTTGCATTGAAATTGGGCGAGTCTTGTTTTGACATAGTGGTTTTTTTTTTATACTACAGTACAATCTTAAATTTGTTTTCTTACAGCATTTTGGAAAAAATGGGAAATGTGGGAAGAATAAGAATAATTACCGTGCTTGTTACTATTTCACACCTCTCCCATTTATGACTTCTCAGAACTCTAGCTGGTTACTACTGAGTGAAAGATTTGGTGAACATACTTAAAACCACATCATTTAAGTCTCTGAATTTTGGTATCTTCTTTCCTTCATAGACTTTCAAACTGTGTGCAGCCTTAATTGTCCCACTGTGTGTGTGTGTCATGTGTTGTACTTGTGTTAGGTGAGAGCAGTCCTGTAAACTTGCTCAGGTATTCATCACGAGTTACTGGATAAGGAAGAAATTGTAGGGTTTTCTCTCTTAAAATTTCTCGAAGTCATTAGATGGGCATAAGTACATTTCCCTTTGGGAAAGCTTGATCCAAATTGTATTGATAAAGCAAACATTTGAAATTGGTCTTGGCACATAGGTTTTGTTTTTAAGTGTGTTTCCTCTGACCTAAAGACTGCCTTCCTATATATAATACACTCCTTTCTTTAGACTGTTGTTCTCAAATAGAGTAAGCTTGTTTAAATGTGTAAAATAAGTTAATAAATTATATGTATTGACCCCAAGAAAGAAGATACTTACTGAGGAGAACTCCTGGTGGCTCACTGGGCTCAAATTTTAAAGCTGGGCCCAGTGGCCGTTTCTACACAGAGGCCCCTCACGCAAACTGCACTTCAGGGAGAAGTCTGCACTGAACTGCCTGCCTGCACTTTGTTCCTGCTGGCTGAGCTAGTCCTTATAAAGGAGTTCCTGGAATTGTATTTCAACCAGTAGCACCCAGGCTTTCCCCATCCAATTGGGCCTGCACAGCTATATCCCCATCAGTATCTTCACTGACCAATCAGAACATCTTCATTCCAACCAATCAGGACTGTGCTTTCTGGAGCAGTCAAACTGAGGATTTGGAGTCCCCATTTGCGTGAGAGCGGACCAATCAGGGACTAGGGGCAGGGACTTCTCTTTGTATAAGTCAGCTTCCCTCCAGCTCGGAGAGCACGTTTCCCCTTTCCACCACTGACTGTGTTTCTGCTGCAACACCTTCTGGCTGGACCACAGCAGAGCAGAGCCAAGCTGTCTAGGGGAGAGGGGCCTCCGCTGAGGGCCACCTCACAGCCATGCTGTGTCATGACTGACTTATAACACTACTGAGCTTTCTCAAAATTGCTGTCACCGCAGTGCTGTATCACAATTGAGCTGTTTGGGTCTCCTTCACCGCACCCCAAACTGGGGATTCCTGTTGGCATTGAATTGGCATGAACAACCAACCATTGACCATCAGTTGACATATGTAGCAAGTTTTTGATGGTTTAGCAGTAGAATTCTGACTTCTCAGTTTTAGGACCATCTCGTTGGTCTGGAACACCTGTTATTTGTATTACATCTTAATCTCCTTAAATTTGGGGGTAAATGTCACCTGAGAGGCATTTAAAATGGTATCCTACTCATTTCCTATTCTATTTCCTGCTGTTGTGTTTCTTTGTTTTTGCCATAGAACTTATCGAGTTTTGAAGACAATTGATTTTAATGTTTTATTTATCTGTGTTACTCTTAGAACAAACTCTGGGAAGTGGCTCTACTCTCAGTGCCCTGAGGACTGTCTGGCACATTGGAGACGCACAGCGATATATTGTTTGTAGAATGAGAGTGAGAGAGACCAAGTTAGTTTGTAGACTGTGGCTGTTAGCAGGAGGTCCTCGTAAGATTTTGGGGGAAAGCATATGCTTTCAGACTGGGCTTGCTGCTCTCCCGCTTCCTGACATTTGTGTTAAATAATTTAATCACCAAAAGACTCAATTTGTTTCACCAATGAAATGGGGGAAAATAATATCATTTTGTGGGGATTAAATGTGATTTTGGATATAAAGCTCTATAAATATCAGTCCTCTCTTTTCCCTTTCTGGGTGAAGCCCAAGGACAATCTGAATTTACCAGTCCGTTGCTTCTGGGGTCATGGCCTTGATGACTTTTGACAGATTTATTCTTTCAACAGCCTGTGTTGCCAGCATAACAATGACCTGTTCCTTGGACCAGTGTGGGAAGACAGATACTTTTAATCCTGATATTAAAACAACTTGTATGGGTTTTCAATTGGAAATATGTTTAGACAAGTTTATATAATTCCAAACTGTTCAGATGGCATCAGCCCTTCTTAGAGCCATGTGAGTTTCACCAGCTCTTTCATACAAACATAGTGAGAGCCACTCACAGGAGTTGACGTTTGTGGTCCTTACACACAGAGTCATCCTCAATTTCTTGGCAAATCAAGAAACATCAGAGGACTGCTTAGTCAGCGGCGTGTCTCCATAGATTTCTGTAATCCTTAGGGGTTCCCAAGGTGTTAATTCCTGCTTCAGTTTCCCCTGATATTTCTTCTGCTTGTGATGACAAGAACACTTCAGAAAGTTAGTTAAGACAAATTGGTTCATAAATTTATAGGCTTTTTTCAATCCTTTGTCCCAGGCAAGTCTGAACAGGATCTGGAAAGCTGATTAAGAGGGCCAGTGAGCACAGTGTACTTAATTTTAAATTAAATGGATGTTTAAGGCATTGAGAAAGTACTCAAGCGCTTCAATCTCTCTTTTTAATCGCTCTTTTTAATTCATGGTTGCTGTTTGAATCTGATGGGGTGGCAATCTTTAATTTTCTACTGAAAGAGTTGGTTATGGCTGCATTTCTCAAGCTTGATTTTTCACTGTGGATTTCTGCAGGTGATTTTAGCACTTGTGGGAACAAAAATCATTAATTGAAGGTGAGCAGGAGGAGAAGAGGGCCCTGAGCCAGGAAGACTATTTCAGTGTGGAGGGTGCATGAGTGGTGGTGGGCATGGAGGTGGTCAGTCAGTCAGTGGGGGGTGGGGGGGGCCGCATCTGGCTGTCAGGAGAACACACTGAAGCCTGTGGGTTTAGGATCCTGGTTATAGATACCCCCCCCCCCGCCCCCTTTAGTGTGTGTTAACTGCTTTTTTTAGGTGGGCCTTAATCTTGGACATAGACAGCCTGACCAAACTGGCAGATCTGTGAGGATTTTAATATGGAGAGGATTTTGTTACTTAAATTCCGAGTTATGGCTAAGGCATTGCTCTTTATTCTAAAGATTTATTTGATCTTTGATAACCTCCAATTTATGCTGTTTGGATTTCAGTTAATAGTAAGGTTTTGTGATCTGGTAGAACACCAATTGTGGGATTTTATCTGCTTTTTGCATGTATGAATGACATTTCTGTACTGTTGTTTATATTGCTGATTAGTATATGCTTTAATTTAATTTACTTTCCTATTACGGGTAAAACACTTCTTTAGATCAAATTATAATGAAATTACTTGGGTCTGCTTCTCGGACTCTTATGAAGATGGGATCAGCTTACTCTCAAATTTGGGGTGTTTGGCAGAGGGCCTGCCCTTCCGAAGTCCATGATTCCGGACCGTACTATTTTAGCTGAGATGAAGTCCTGGTCATATCAAATTAAACTTTTAAGAGCATGCTATTCTTAATATTGAGGAATATGTTATACAATCCTGGAAGTGTTCTTTAAAGTTCTTCACAAGATTTCTTGTGAGAATTCATTCAGTGAAACTAATAGTAGGGAATTCAGCTATTGATTCTGAGGATGGCGCCATCATTTAGTTGTAGGAGGCCAGCTGTAGCCTCCCTTCCCTGAGGGAGGGGCCCTGATAGTCCTGTGCTGTCCTGTCTCCCTTTTCCCCAGGCTCCCTGCTGAGACGGGGCGGAGCCTCTGGGTAAGCAGCATTTTGTGAGTTTGGGGGATTATGTAAAAGCCTAACTAAACATGCGCTGTTTTTGCTTTACTGGTAACTGCTTTTAATGGCCTGTTGGTTGTTGAAACTTCTGTGACAAGGAAGCCTTTTGTCTTTGTTTTTCAGTCACAAAATCTTTCTCTCCACTTGAAAAGATTGCATGTGGGCTACAAGGAGTTTTGCAATCTTTGACCTCCTTGCCTTCCAAACCTCTACAAAAAAACCAGTATCCAGTAATGTCAGACTCCCGATTGTGCTTAAATAGCTGTGCTTGGCATCTGGGACTTTAGGTGGTTTTTATATTTTTGATGCTAACTTTTAACTGTATTCTCATGTATTTCTCTTTTGTTTCAGTGTCCTGGGTCATGAAACTTAAACCACAGCAAGCTCCATTATATGTAAGTAAATCAGGAGATTTCTTTTCACTTTGTACTTATCTATGCTCTGTACGTGTTAAAATAAACCTAAAAAAGCTCTCGTGATTATCAAAGGAATTTGTAACCATCTGCACGTGAATGTATTGGCGTAGTACACTTCAGAAATTCAGTTTGATTTAGCAAATGCTAAATGACTAATAAGTTCATGGCACTGAGCTGAGAACAAATATCTGTAAGACTTGTGAGCTAAATTAGTGGGCGTGATAGGCTGCATACAGAAGACCATTCCCTGCCAAAGGGTAGTGTGGCTTCTTTTTCCCCCGCAGTGCATTTCTGTAAAAGTGGATGGAGATCTTCCGCCTGCCATTGTGCGTTACCCTGTGTTACGACTAGGTGGCGCTCTGTTACTGGCAAGAGGCGTCTGAGTGAAAGTTGATCTTTCATCTCCGTCAAGTGAGGGAATTATAAGATGAAATGGATAAATGAATGAATCAAGGCTGAAACGGGTTAATTCTCGGTGACGTTTTGTTGTTGTGAGAGTGACTTAGCCGAATCAGAGTGGCGAAAAGTGCCTGCTGCTGAGGCGCCCGCTCAGAGGTGTGGGCAGCTTGAGCTGTGAGAGGACAGTGGAATGTGGGTTGGCACGGCCTGGAGAGGCTGAGAACAGTTTCTGTGATGGGAGAGGACTCGAGTCAGGCCTGGAAGAACAGGGAACATTTTGTTGGGTGAAAAGTCCCCAGAATTTGTTCACGACCCAAGACAGATGGTAGAGGGACGAGTGGCCGTGAGCATGGTGTGCCATAGGTGTTGGGACAGTGGGTACTGGAAAGTGTGGCCAAGTCCGTTTGTGTTGGGGAAATATAATGGGAGATCAGCCTCAGATGGCGGAAGCTCAGATGTGAAGGAAAAGGAAGGTGTGGGGCTTTTATTTAGTGACCACTGAGGAGACTTTGATGGGATTTCTTTTAAATCTTTATGTATTTATTTATTTATTAGTTTCAGGTGTACAAAACAATGTAATAGACATTTCACCCCTCACAAAGTGATAACCCCTCTTCCCCATATGCATTCATTTATTAATTTTATTTATTTATTTATTTTTAAAGATTTTTATTGGGGAATTGGGGGGATGGGAACAGACAAGTTGCTGTCCTTTTGTTCTTCAGTCTAGTTGTGGAGGACGTTGCTTCACT